GCTTTTTTCTTACGTTAAGGCGTTACTATTTTGTTAAACTGGTCAAGAGTTTTTTTTTCTGGTTTCTTTCATTGCTGTATGGTTCAGTGGTTGTTGTTTAGTTGGGACGACAGCAGCTTAGGAAACGGCAATCAGAAAAAGGTTTTAGAGAGAAAAATTCAATTTTTAGAAATATTTGAAATTTTACTGCAATATAATCAGTGAACTTTTGTTTCTATAAGAAATGTTAACATGTTTGGATTTCTGCAAATAAGGAGGTTGTGTTGCTTTTTTGGCTGAATTTTAGATGCTGAGAAAAGGATATCGTTGTTTTATTATAATCTTTATTTCAATTTATGGACTTGATGAATCAGGAGAGGAAGTTCAATTTATGAACTTGATGAATCAGGAGAGGAAGAAGAAGATAGTGATATTGGTGAAAAAAAAAAATAGAAGTTTCTTTAAATGGATTATTTTTAGTCTCTTTTTTTTTTTTTTCTTATTCAAATACATTCTTTTGGTCACTACATTTTCAATTTTCGTTGTTGATGAAGAAGTTACGTTGCACAATACAAAATGCTTTTATGTGTTGAATACGTGTTGGTTTTTTTCTTTTTGTTTATTTTTTATTTTGATGATAAACCGGTTTTTATGGTGTATTACATTTGAGATTTTTATGCTAAAAAATTGTCAGCAATAATATTTTTAGTTGTAATCGCGCCATAAAACAATTTTTTTTGGCTGCTGGTCATTTTAGTAGCTGAACTAAAAGTTATTGTTTTTTTTTCTTGAAAAAATCAAAGAAGAAAACTATAGAAGGAAAAAGTTATATTGCTTTGTTGACTTATAGGCGTACGCTTTATTTGATATAATTGTACTGCAGTTTTTTGTCATAAAATGATTGTCTTGTCGTTATTCTTAATTATAATATCAGTACCCATACTACTTTTATAGTTATCCATATTACAAATATATATTATTGTTGCTGTTTACGTTATTACCACTATTACAGCTACCGTTTTTACTGTTTTTATTACCTTCTTTACCATTGTTCTTTTCTTCTTAATTTCAGGAAGCAGTAGATCTTTTGGCCTGCGTGCCCTGTCTTGCTGAACGATTTGGATAGAGATCTTTTTTTTTTATTTTTTTATTTTTTTATTTTTTTATTTTTTTTTTTTTTTGGAAGTTATTTCGGCAAAACTGCAGAAAGAATACCTTGTGAACTGTTTATCTTGGCAGACACTGCTCGACTACAGATAATTCTGTAATTTCTTGGTAATGAAATTGTTATTATTGCTTAGAAGAAAATTTTCATTTCAAGTAATTGAGAAGGTTTTGCTGTTGTAACAGAAAAAATGAGAAGGAGACTCTTGTCATTTTTGTTGAGATTTGGTGCACTTGAAATTCTTTTTGACGAGTTATACGATCTTTTGAGCCAAAACGAAAAATGGCCAAAAAAAGTGTTTCTTGACAGCTGACCTTTCAGTGTATAGTAGAGGGTCTTGATGATTATGTGCACTTGTTTCAGTTGGTGTTTCTACCGGATTAATATCCTATTTTATTGGCTGTTTCTGCTATAAAACGAAAGTAGTTTTGCGAAGGTGTTGTAAGTTTGCAGGTATGTTGTTAAATTTCTGATTATTGGTGTAATAATTTAAACTGTTACAAAAATTTGCGTCGCACTTTTTTAGCGCTATGGCTTTGGTTTCCCATCAGACCGCTGGCGGTATAGTTGGGGGACCTCCAATGTTTGGAGCATCTAGTGCTTCAGCTTCTACACTTGGGAAAGAAGCAAGTCACACTAACGGAGTGAAAAATAATTCTAATAAACTCATTCATGGATCAGTGCATGCAGTTAATGGGGTCCAGCAGGTAATACATAACTGTTCGGCCTCTCTGTTTACCAATGTTTAAAAAAAATTGGAGATTAGTGTCATAAAACTGATTCTCATGAAATTTTCCAGATTTCTTTAGCTGTCTGTTTTTAGTCATCTGGAGGCCATGTTTCTCAAGCAATACTTACAGCAGCTCAGCCGCTTTATAATACACCAGGTGTGTCGCCACAGGAGTTTCAGCCGGATCGTCCTATTGGCTATGGCGCTTTCGGCGTTGTGTGGTTTGTTTTTAAATAAGCTTGATTGATGAAGTTTTATTCTTGAGTTTTTTTTAATCGGTACTTCACGCTCTTAGTTAGCTATATAAATACATATATTCATATTTATATATAGTTATATAGGTATATTTACGTACTTGTTTATTTATTTGCTTATTTATAAATGGACTTTATCAGTAAGCCTTTATTTAGTTTGATGATGTTAAAGTGGTTTCAGGTCAGTGACGGATCCCAGAAGTGGCAAAAGAGTGGCGTTGAAGAAGATGCCAAATGTTTTTCAAAACCTTGCGTCTTGTAAACGTGTATTCAGAGAAATTAGGATGTTGTCAAGCTTCAAAAACGATAATGTAATTTTTTCATTTCTGAAAATTTTAGTATTGTTTTCTATATCTATATATATAGAGGGAGGGAGAGAGAGAGAGAAAACCGTAAATTTTTGACTCTGTGAGCAGCTAAATGACAGTAGTGAACAGGTTTTTTGAGAGAAATATCGTGCTTAGACTGTTTGGATTTCGGTTTTTGAATAAACATTGAGGCGTTTTTTACAGAGAGAAAAACCACAGTCGTGGCTTTATTATTACTTTTTTTTTGTTTACTTATTAGTTGTTCAGCTTCAAAACGGTAAACACAGACGCGTGCAGTAAGTGTCTGTTCGCTTGTATTAGCACTGAGTTTGCAGTCCTTTTTCCTTTGCTTACGGTCACAAACGCAATTTCATTCAATGAGGCCCGTGTTGTTTTTTTAGAGTCATAGTGGTCATAATTGACGTCACACTACTTAACAGAAATTCTTTGATTTTCATTGTCATAGTGGTTTTGCTCAGTCAAAAAAAGGAAAAAGTGGACTGTTTGAACTGCACTTTCCGTTGAATGGGTTCACACTTTTGAAAATTTTTTGTATAGTTTGTTTCACAGCTTTTTTTTTTTTTTTTTTTTTTTTTTTTTTTTTTT